GCAAGAATGGAGAGATTTTTGTCTCACATATTTTGGACATGTTATCAGGAGGGGCCAGTCCCCGGAGAAGGACAACACGCTTGCTATAAGTAGAGGGTCAGTGAAAAGTAAGAAGATTCTCAACAAGATGGATTGATGCAGTGGGTGCAACAATGGGCTCAAACACAGCAACGGTGGTGAGGACGGCACAGGCCCGGGCAGCGTTTCATTCTGTTGTGCAACCTTGTGTGAGTTCCTATGAGTTGGAACTCACTCAAGGGCACCTAACAACAGCAACAACAATGACAAGTGATGTTTAGCATCGATTCATGCCCTTATATAGTGTCATCCATGTATACTTTCTTTGGTGAAGTGTCTGTTCAAATCTTTAGTCCATTTTTAAAGATTTGGTTTATATGTTTTCTCATTATGTTTTGAGAGCTCTTAGAAATTCTGGATACAAGTTCTTCACCAGATCCATGCTTGGCTAGATCTTCTCTCAGTCTGTGACTTGTCTTTTCATTCTTTTAACAGTGTCTTTTGAAGAACAAGTTTTTTAATTTTGATGAGGACCAATTTAACAGCTTTTTCTTTCATGAATCGTACTTTTGGTGTTGTATCTAAGAAATCTTTGTCTACCCTAAGGTCACAGAGAGTTTCTCCTAGGAGTTTTATAGTATTAGTTTTTGCATTTACGTCTTTGATATATCTTGAATTAATTTGGTGTAATGCCTAAGGCATTCAACTGCTAACCAGAAGGTTGGTGGTTCAGCCACTCCTTGGAAGGAAGACTGGGCAATCTATTTCCGTAGAGATACTGCTTTGAAAACCCAAGGAAGAGTCACTATGAGTTGGAATCGACTTGATGGCAGTGAGTTTTTTTTTTTTTTTTTCTCCTTTGTGGTACAAGATATAGATTGAAAGCTACTTTTTCCCACATAGATATCCAGTTGTTCCAGCACCATTTGCTGAAAGACTATCTTTTCTCCACTGAGCTGTCTGAGAAACTTTGTAAAAATAGTTGCTTGTGGATCTCTTTCTGGCCTCTCTGTTTTGTTTGGTTGATCTTATCTATTATGAAACCA